CCAGCGTGAGCGGGCACAGGAGACAGGAGGCCTGGGTCCCGGAAGAGGAGCCAGGCCACTGTCTCTGAAGACGCTGGCAGTGGAGGAGGAAGAGATGGTGGTCAGCCAAGGGAGAGCCATGCGGGCAGCCGGAAGGGGGCGCAGGCCTTCCGTTTTGCCGAAGCAAAACGAAACACCAAGCAAGAAAAAAATTCAGTGCTTCGTCTCGTTTCGGCAAAACGAAACCACGAACCGAACCGCAAACCAACTGGGTTTGTGGTTTTTTCTTTCTGTTCATCATTTGTGGCCAGCTCTAGCTGGAAACCATCTGCCTCCAGCGAACCCACCCGAGAAAAATGCTCCCTCCCACATATGCTTCCCCATCTGCACAGGCCAGGAGTCAATATTTTGTTCCGGGTTCGCTTTGCAAGACCTTACTTGTCCTGGAGTGACGAGGAACTTTCAGAAGTCACGGAGAACAAAATCTCTCTGGACCTTGGAGGGCTGCACCCATTGTAGGGAACCCCAGGCCATTCAAACCTCACCCTCGCAATAATTCTTACACTTTTTAAAACCAATACCCCCCTTTCATCCCTGAGTAGCCAAAACAAATAAAAACAGGGAGGATGAGCAGCAAGGATGCTGAGTGCCTCAACACATGATAAAATGCACCGCTGTGCTCTTTTCCATGAGACAAGGAGACCTTCAACCTAATCAGAAAAATGTTGTCAGGGGGGTCCCTGAGGGTCCTGCCTTGGCTGTACTTTCTCTTCCCCCCCCCCCATTTTTCCGTGAAGGAGTGCAGACAGAGCACTTCCTTATGTCCAGAGGGGGAAAAAATCTTTTCCAGATTTTGGTTGATCCAAAACTACTGCCCTTTGTTTGAACCTGATCTTGGTAATGCTGTGGCTGTTTTCACCCGAGAGGCCAGCCGTATTCATGAAGCAAACCTTTTTCGGGGATCCGGCCTCAACTCACCGGAGGCCGCCATGCCGCTGACAAAGGCGGCTGTGGTCTTCAAAAGGTCGTGTAAAATTAAAGGCTCCTTAATTCTGTTTTAGACTACAACATCCCTCATCCCGCCAGCCAGCCAGGGCCCTCCCCCAAGTTTTGCATTGTGTTTTTGCTGTATGTTTATGCTATGCTGTTGTTACCTGCGCTATATTTTAACATTTACTGTTTCTGGAGGGTTGGTTAGGCCTGTTGGGAAACGGCCCGGAATTGTGCTTCGGCGCTAATGGGGTGGTAGATACATTAAAATAGATGAAATAAATAAATAAATAAATGGCAGCCACTTCCCACCCACCCCAACCTGGTGCCCTCTAGTTGTGTGGGACGACAATGCCCATCTTCCCCTCCAGGGAGACGGGAGGGCATCCGCTGTTCCATAGAATCGTAGAACCTTGGAGAGGAGCTGCCTTTGCGCCTCGTTTTTTAGAGCAAAGACGCGGCGCCTGCAGCCACGGCGAGAAGCTCTTGGCGCGGAGGAGGAGAGGTCGAGGGGGGCTCCGCCTGGCCCGCTGCTCCTCCTTCCTTCCCTTGGACGTTGCCCCCCCCGTCCCTGAACAACTACCTGCCCATCAGGGGGGGCCTTTCCCCAAACCCCCCCCCAAGGTGTATGTAACAGGAAGGGGGGGGGTCTCGGCCTCTCACCATGCCTAGAGCTGAGGAGGAGGAGGAGGAGAAGGGTGAGGAGTATCTGGACCCCCGGGCCAGCTTGGGCCGCTGCCCAGGATGGGGTCCTAGAGCAGGGCGACCCTCTCATGCTGGAGCCACTCCGCGGAGGGACGGACAAGGGGGGTGGCCCGAATCCCGCCTTCCCTTTACGCACTCCTCCTTGGCGGCCCGCGGCGACCAGGCGAGAGAGCGGAGCCAGCCCAGCCAGCGAGCGAGCGAGCAAGGGCCGGGAGCAGCACGTGGAGGAGGAGGAGGAGGCGCCCCGGGGAGGAGGCGTGGCCGGCGGCACGAGGCTGCTTGGCGCCAGCCTGGAGGGGCGGATCCAGCACGCGGCCTCACCCTCCCCCCAGCACCAGCCCCCCCACCGAGAGCCGGGCTTTCTTTTAGGCTGTGTTGCCTGGTGGGCGG